TTTTCAACGAGCCCAATATTCATATATTTATCGTCGTTTCGTCAATATCTACATTTTACCGTCCGACAATATTGAAATTTACTTTATATAAATATATTAGTCCCTAAACTTCCAAAATATTAAAATATAGTACACATAAATTAAATTCTAATCTATGAAATTTTGGGACATTACAATCCTTTAAAATGAAAAAAACAAAAGAAAAATTCCCAAAAGAAAAAGAAAAATTCTTACTAAAAGGTATGTCCAAATTAAGTTAGCACAAAGAATTCAGAGTTTGAGCATCAATTTCTTTGGATTTTTTATTTTTTTTTATCAATTTTGATTTTCAACTTTCGATCTCTTCTTACTGCCATAGCTTCATTTTTTAGGAATTTAGTCATAGCTTTATTTTTCTGAGAAGTAGAACTCTGGCAAAATGGGTGTACCTTTTGGGCTTTGAGTAGAGGTAGGATGTACTATAAAAGCGAGAAAATTACCTTGCTAGGTTTTATTGCTGGTGTGGTAAAGGTGTGCCGATCCCAAAAATGGATAATAGCAATGAAGAAAGGTGTGGTGGCGATCACAAACGGAGATAATTGCAACGGTTTAGCTTTCGTAATGGTTTGGAAATTGTATGTGGCCGTCAGTGGGTGGTGGAGGCTTTGATTTTTGTCTTGGGTGGGTGGGATGAGGGGGATGAAGAAGAAGATGAATAGTTTTATTTTATTTTATTTTGTTTTGGTTATTATGGGTTAAAATACAAAGTTACCTTTGGTCAAAATTGGTCCAAGTCCACTTTTCTTGGTCAACTAATGATCAAATTGATGGTTTCCATCTAGTTGGACTCCAGGTACATATTTATGAAATGTTTGGAACCTTTGTTGACACAAATCAAAGGTTAAGGGTAAAGTCTGTAAAAATTGAGAAGGTTAGGAACTACTGTTGCAATTTTTCGTAAATACAACTAATAACATATTCAATCATAGCTTTTACAAATCAACGAAGTCCAATGCAAAAACATATAAATAATAAGTTGTCAAATAAAATTAATTTAACAACATATACAAATATTAAAAAGTAGATACTATTACTAAAATATTGGCGATCCATATCAATAATTCATTTGTTTAAGCCTTCAAGTTTACATATAAAAAAAATCTTGAATTAGAAGTTATAGAGATAAAATATTTTTAAGTATTACTAATACTTACCACCTATTTGATTTAATCATCAATTGGGCCAAAATATTGGATTTAGAAATTGGTTAGGTTGGGTCAAGCTAGGCTAGGGTTTGGGAGATGAAATGTCAATCAATTACCTAATTAGTTAATCAGTTAATTTTTTTAGAAAAATTAAAATAATTTGATTTATTCAATATAAAAAAAATTAGAAAGATTTGGTTTTTGGTCTAGAACCTAGAACTGAATCGTATTCGTTGGTTATCGATTTAGATACTCATTCGGGTATTTAATTTGAGAAGAACCGTCGAGTTCGGTTCAATTCGGGAATTTTGTCTAACCCTACCACAAATTTTCATTAATTTTGAAGTATTACAAAAAATTTACATTTTTTTACAAAAGGCGAAATGATAAAATAAAATTCTTTAAAAAAAAATAACTAGAACATTCATAGATTTAATTTAAATCATGGATTTCGCATCTAAAAAATAGAACATAAACACCTAACTAGTTAAACATTATGTATTTGAGCGAATTAAACTAACTAATAAATTTAAAAAAGAATAACTTCTTATTTATTTTTCTTTTCTCTTCGATCCACTTAGCAACCTGTATCACCATCTTGCCGCAGATCTAATCAACCCCCACTAACGTATAAAATTATTGTAAAAGTGAGTATTTAAAAATAATAAGTAAGATACGCGCAATTTTCATACATATTATAAAACAATAACATATACATTTCATACCACTCTTCTTTTATGTAGTTTATCGGTGACCAAACGACGCACCTATCTTAAGTCATCTTAAATTTTCGAAGGATTTCATATATTTTTCTAAAGAATTTGAAGATACACTAGCAATTCATGCATATTTAATTGAATATATAAAAAAGCAGAAGGAAACAAATCACTTGCACATAAGTATTTTACCTTGTTTATTGAAAGGTTGTACAATAATGAACATGAAAATGAATAATTATTCTGTGGTGAATTTTTTTTTTTTTTTTTTTTTTTTTTTTTTTTTTTTTTTTTGGTTTTTTTAAAAAAATTTGTGTGTGGTAGGAATTGAAAGCGGAATAATATTGCAAGCACCACCAATTCAATTATCATCTCAAAGGTTATGCAACTCTGTCCACTGTCTAGGATTGCATTAAAGGCCAGTTTAATTGCAAGAATGAGATTCGGATAGAAAAAAAACGAATTTCAAGGAATTGAATTGTCCAGAATATTTTTTCTGGAAATTGTCAATTAATGTGTTTGATTGATATAATTTTTCAACTGAAAAATGTTGAAATTTTTTTTATCTTTTGATATTTATTTGGCTTTGTATTTCATAAAAATTGTCAATTAAATGAATAAAATTTGAACTACACTATTAATTTCATATCAAATAAAAATGTGTGTGTGTGGTAAGAATTGAAAGTGGAATAATATTGCAAGCCCCACCAATTCAATTATCATCTCAAAGGTTATGCAACTTTGTCCACTATCTAGGATTTCACTAAGGGTCCGTTTAGTTGTAAGAATGAAATTTGGGTGGAAAGAAAACGAATTTTAGGGAATTGAATTGCTCAGAACTTTTTTTTTAATTGTCAATTAATGTGTTTGATTGGTATAATATTTCACCTGGAAAATGTTGAAATTTTTTGTCTTTTGGTATTCGTTTGGCTTTGTTTTTCATGAAAATTGTCAATTAAATGGATAAAATTTGTTACAATTGAGAATAGAATTTGTTCTAATTAAAAAAAAATCCGGGTTGGTGGGACTTGGTTTTCCACCAAACCAAGGAAATTACACGTGTGGGGAAAACAAGGAAAACGAATTGCGATCAAACGTGCCAAAAGTTGGAAAATGAAAAATGTTTCCATGGAAAACAGTCCAAATCAAACAGGCCCTAAACAGGAAAATGAAAACAAAATTAGAGACACACATATCATTTTAAAATCTTATCTTGACACAGGAAGAGAAAAAGAAAAGGAAATACGACGTCATATTTTGTAAAACTTGAGATACTAATAACTGTGAAAACGTTGTGAGTTAAATATTCACCCCTATTTGATAAATATTAAAATTAGGTTTTTAGTAAATTTTGATAAAAATTGATAGAATGTGTGATTGAAAAGAAGTAGGTTTATGAAATATATGGTTATAATTAATTTTTAACATTAATTTTAATTTTAATCAAATTTTTTAATGATACCAAGGGCTTAATTTCAAAAAATGCTATTTGATAATTAAAGCACAAAATTATATAAATTTATAGTTGAACCCGTAGTTTAGTTAATTCTTGGAAAGACCCAAAAGAAGTTTACAATGATGTGCAGCTCTTAGCTCGTGCATGCTGTTGATTTTTTGAGAAAAAAATGATTTTTCAGATATTTTGTGGTTAAAAACTTGAAAAAAATTATGGTTTCAAGTATAAAATTATTTTATTAGAAAAATGTATAGATAAAAAATGAATATTATTTTTAATGTTTTTAAAGAATTTCGTTTCCGAAAGAAGTCTCAAATAAAAATGTTAGGTTCTGAAATCTCCTTCCAACTTCGCTAGTAATACCAACCAGAATCCATTCATTTTTGAGTAACAAGACAAATTTGTCTAAACGTTTTACTGCAAATTGTTATCTCATACGTGCCAAAGGCCCTTATTATATCTACTCGTTTCTATACGACTATACGAGAAATTAACCATAGAATTCTTATCATTAGCCTGTGCACAAATTTTGAAATGGCTCAACCTCATGTGCTTCTTAGTAACTTTTCCTCCACAAGGCCTCGTATGCTTCCAGTAACTTTTCCTGCCACTTCTTTAAATCATGATGCTACTTGCATCAATGAAACAACTAGATAATATGTATGGTTGAGGTTAAGGATTCAACACGTTCAAGAGACATGCGGTTTATCTTCCAACAAAGAAACTCCAACAAAAATGTATGAAGAAAATATTGCATGCATAGCTCCCATTCCGAGGACTCACATAAGTACCCTAGATGGTGCCACCATTTGCGAGATTTGAAAGTCATAGTCGATACCTTAGTGTAAGTCAACTTAAAGAAGGATTATTAAAAGAGATAGAACGAAACATGTGTAACATCTCAAAATTCTTATTGGCGCCTTGACATAATTTTGAAAAGTTGAGGGACTAAAGTGAAATATGTTTTAAATTTATATATTTTTTTGGTCAAATAATCAGATTTTGATATAGTGAGATTTAGCATATTAATATTGGGCATGTTGAATAGATCATAATAAATCATGTGTTTTAGGCTTTGAAAAAAGTTAGTTCACATAAGTTAGGCTCAAGATATTGATGTCCAAAGAAGTTATTTTAATCGGTAATTTCTTTAAAATTGGTTTATGATTTACATTTTTTATGAGAGCCATGATTTGTGTAGGATAAAGGTTAACTGTTAATTGTAATCCTACATTGATTTAGATAAAGTTTAAAGCTAATCCTAATTTAATTAAACACTACTTTTTATTCTATCACTTCTTATATTAGTATTCCAATTCAATGAAACCAATTAATAAATTGATCCACTCGCGCGTCGTATGTAACTTGTATCTCAAATTGATAGTTATGATTTGACAGTGAAACTTTACCTACAATCTAGACATCTATAAATTTTAATGAAACACAGCTCCTCTATTTTAATTATTTCAAAACTCAATTATTTTCAACTATAAAATTAAATACCATGCAAGAGGTCCCATTATTTACCACAAAAATAAATAGTACCCATCTAATAATATAAATATGCATGAATTGTCAATGGATCTGCGGGTTTGACCAAATGAAATGTGAACTCTATTAGGTTCTTTATAACAAAATGTGATATCCTTTCGCAAATTCAAAGTACTATTGATGGGTGTCTTGTTTGGTTATCGATATACTCCATAAAAAATATGATATGAAGTGTCTATTTTATTTTTCTATAATTGTCCAGAGAAACTACACACGTCTTACTGGATACTTTTAAATAAAAATGTTAGGTTTTGAAATTTGCTTTCAACGCCAACCAGAATCCATTCAATTCTTAGTAAGAAAAAAAATTTGTCTGCAAATCGTCATCTCAAACGTCCTGAATTGTCCACTTATATGCCAAAGGACCCCCATTCTATCTCCCGTTTCTATACAACAAAATAACCATAGAATTTTTATCGTTTTCCCAAGCACAAATTTTGAAATGGCTCGACCTCATGTGCTTCTAATAACTTTTCCTGCACAAGGCCATATTAATCCATCGCTTACATTTGCCAAGACCCTTAACAGGAGTGGCATTGAAGTCACCTTTGTAACAAGTTTATACGCCCAGCGGCACATAGTGAAAGGCACAGGTGACATCACCAACGGTATTACTTTTGTGGCGTTTTCTGATGGATTCGACGATGGTTTCAAAATCAGTGATGATCATCAGAAACACATGACGGAAATTAGAAACCGTGGTTCTGAAGCATTAAGGAAAACAATTATTGCCAGTGCCGAGCAAGGACACCCGGTTACGTGCCTAGTTTACAGTCTCCTGCTCCCGTGGGCTGCAGTGGTGGCTCGTGAAGTCCACATCCCAAGTTCTGTTCTATGGATTCAAACAGCCACTGTGCTGAATATATATTACTCTTATTTCAATGGCTATGGTGAAGAAATCAGCAATACTTCTGAGGATCCGTCTTGGGCAATCCAGTTGCCTAGACTTCCATTGCTAGCTAAACGTGATCTTCCATCCTTGATTCTTCCTTCAGGTGGGGGCGGTCAGCATAGTTTTGCTCTTTCGTTGTTTAAAGAGCACATAGAGACATTGGATGCAGAAACAAAACCAAAAGTTCTCGTGAATACATTCGATGCACTAGAGCCTGATGCACTTAAGGCGATAGAAGATTATGAGTTAATCGGGATTGGACCCTTAATGCCTTCAGCTTTCTTGGATGGAAAGGATCCATTGGATAAGGGCGTTGGTGGAGATCTTTTTCACAAATCTGCCGAGTATCTTCAATGGTTGAATTCGAAACCAGAATCTTCTGTGGTTTATGTGTCATTTGGAAGTCTTTCGACGCTCCCAAAAGTTCAACTGGATGAGATTGCTAAAGGGTTGCTCGAGTGTGGGCGACCATTTTTATGGGTTATACGTGTAAATGAGAACCAAGGAGGAGGAAAAGACAATGACAAACTAAGTTGTTTGGAAGAATTGGAAAAACTAGGAAAATTAGTACCATGGTGTTCACAACTTGAGGTCCTAATACACCCTTCTTTGGGTTGTTTTATGACTCATTGTGGTTGGAATTCGACGTTGGAGAGTTTAGCATGTGGTGTTCCTATGGTGGCATTTCCACTGTGGACTGATCAAGGGACGAATGCAAAGCTTATTCAAGATGTCTGGAGGACAGGCCTAAGGGTGAACACAAAAGAAGATGGCATCATTGAGAGCCACGAGATCAAGAGATGCATTAGAACAATAATGGATGGTGGAGAAAAAAGTCGAGAACTGAGAAAGAATGCAAGGAAATGGAAGAATTCTGCAAGGGAAGCTATGCAGGAGGATGGTCCTTCCACTAAGAACTTGAAGGCTTTTGTCGAAGAACTTGGAGATTTTTAAGTCGTGAATTTATTGTCTAAAATTTGACTTGTCATTTTGCTAGGTTTAATACCTTAAAATTGGGTTGAAATCTTGGAAGATCACGTTTAACTTGAATTTGGAAAGAAATCAAATTACATCCAAGATTTTTTTCCTTTTACGCGGTTTAACCTAATTCTAGTATATTTTCTTACTTTTTAGAACTCCATTAGGTTTATGGACGTGGTCTATAAATTAGAGACTTCTTTGTCAGTTTTAAACGAAACATTGCTGTCCTGTATTATTCTCTCCGTATTGTTGGTTTAATAAATTTCATCGTTCCTCTGCTTAGGTCCTTTTTTTCTACTTTACTTTAATCTTGTTTTCGTTGTATGATCTTGAATATTTCATTATTGCCATTAAATCTCAATCTTGCATCGCTTCTGGGATCAACAAGTGGTATTAGAGTATGGGTTGTAGGTTCTTCGTGATTTGGTTGAGATTTTCAAAGATGAATTCGTTGAAGTGTGAAATTTCGCTGCTGGATCGTAATACAAGATTTTTGCTGTGGCAAATAAAGGTGAGGCCTGTGTTGACGCAGCTGGATCTTGACAATGTTTTGCTGGGTTCGAAGAAGATGCCAGCAAATTTGTCTATGAAGAAGAAATAATGGAAGGATCGAAAGGTTCTAGCGCATATTCATCTTCTCTTAACCAACAATATTCTGCAGGATGTCTTGAAGGAGAAGACAACGACTGCTTTGTGGCTCAAACTGGAGCAGTTGTGTATGACAAAGAGTCTAATGAGCAAAATAACTCTAAATCAGAAGTTGTATCCTCATCGCATGGGGGAAGGAGGGTTACTGCAGGATCATCTTGCTGTGTTCAAGGAGATTGTTGTAGAGTTGGAGACGTTGGAGGTAAAATATGATGAAGAGGATCTGACCTTGATCCTGTTGTGTTCTTTATCTATTTCGTTTTCGTCATTTCGTGATACTATATTGTATAGTCGTGACACACTGACCATTGAGGAGGTATATGACTCCCTGTTCTCTAAGGAGAAGATGGAGCTGTTGGTTGGAGATCCTATATCTAGAGGTGGGAATGCTCTGGTTACTCATGGTGATCAACAGAGGGGTAGATCGAAGGTGAGGTATAGCAATATGTATTGTTATTACTGCAAGAGGAAATGACACATTAAGAAAGATTGGACAAGTTGCAGGATAAAGGTGATTTACATGCAAATCATGCAGGACAATTAGGTAACGAGACTAACATTGCTGAGAATTTTTCGAATGATGGAGATGTAATGCTAGTTGTATCCGATGGGGAATCCAAACATGGGGAGTGGATTCTGGATTCTACATGTTCATATCATGTGTCTCAATAGGGCTTTGTTTCAGACATATGAGACGGTAAAGCAAGGTAGAATTGCTATGGGAAACAACAAATCTTGTCAGATTGTAGGAATTGGTCGGGTCAGATTGAGGCTACAAGATGGAATAGTGAGGACACTCGATCAGGTTCACCATGTTCCCAACTTGACAAAGAATCTCATATCATTGAGTACCTTAGATGCAAAAGGGTATAAATTCTTTGGTGGAGTGGAGTCTTGAAAGGGTGTTCGGGTTGTACTAGAGAGACGAAAGAAGTCTCAGTTGTATATCTTGCAGGGGAATGCAAAATCAATTAAGAGACATTTGGACAAGTTTAGTACCATGGTGAAAGTTCAGTTTGATACAGTACCTCTTGTGGCAAGCTCTGAGTTGGTTAAGAACACTGATAGGGAAAGCGTTGGTGATTCCGCTTTGCCACCAATTTCAATGAATAAACTGTGTTCAGTTGCTAGGGTTGGACTCATCGAGCGTAGGTACGGTGGTGTCAATAATACCTGGAATGCTTTAGGGGACGTTGAAGGTAACAATTCTAGCAAGGGGCCTTCTGATCCAGCATGTGGTATGGTTTCTGCTACAGAGTGTGTTTCTATCCTGTTTGGTCAACAGTAATTCCTTCGTGAAATTTTGGGAACCCAAGATTTGGGTTCGGGTGTCGCTTGTGGATGCCCTGCAAAGGACGATGGTTTGGTGGTGGAGATTTTGATTACTGTGTTGAGGAGATTGGTCAATTCATTTCGAAGCAAATGGATTTGAAATTTTAGAGTTTTGTTCGTTGCACCGGAATTTTGAATCCAGGTGGAGATTGTTAGTTTTAATACCTCAAAATTGGGTTGAAATTTTAGAAGATCACGTTTGGCTTGAATTTGGAAATAAATCAAATTAAATCCAAGATTTTTTTTTCTTTTACGCGGTTTAATATAATTCTAGTATATTTTCTTACGTTTTAGGACTCCATTAGGTTTATGGACGTAGTCTATAAATTAGAGACTCCTTTATCAGTTTTAGATGAAGCATTATTGCTGTCTTGTATTATTATCTCCATATTGTCGGTTTAATAAAATTTATCGTTCCTTTGCTTAGTTTCTCTTTTTCTACTTTATTTTAATTTTGTTTTTGTGGTGCGATCTTGAATATTTCATAATTGTCATTAATATCAATCTTGCATCACCTTTGGGATCAACACATTTTTCAATCTGCTTTGTTTTAATTTTTTATTTTGTACTCAGTTTGCTACAGCCTGGAGTTACAAGGTGTTTTGGATTAGTTGTAGTGAAATGAGACTATCAAAAGGGTTAATAACCATTTTTTACCCAAATTTAAGGAACATTTTAGGTGGGTCTCATTTTTAACAATCATACTATATATTCATATTCAAATTCAGATGGGACGCATGTCAACGCATGATTGAACAATTTGAAAATTAAAATAAAAATACTTAATCATTTTTGAACACGTCAGTCTGTCTCTTCACTACTTACTTTTAAGTCTGACTAAGTGGTTTTATTCCATTTTAAATTACCGACGTTAATTAGTTGAATAGTAATCATTCCCGTGAGAATATTGCAACAATATATTGAATGAATTATTCTTGGTGTACTAATAACCCATACCGATTATTCACAATTGGTGGGTCAATGTGGGACCCACCTGTATAAAAATACACCCAAAAAATACCTACCTATCCCTGTTGTGAGTAGTTGAGTTAGCTAAACAGAGATTTGTGTGGCCATAATAAGTCTACAAAGTGCCTATATCAAAAACTATTAATCTGCTTTAAAGCGTTTATAATACATGAGAGAGAATTCCATGTTGAAATTTGTAACAAACTTTGACTCTTGTGTTTCCCTTCATTAAGTTGTAAATGTGTATAGCTCCCCTAACTACATTCTAGGCTAGCGGCAATGGCCCAAAGCTAGTATTTTTGTACCTTAAAATGATATGTATTTTTGTTTTGTTTATCTCCACAATAACACACGAAGCATTTGCCTTTCTTATCTATGTGATGATGTAACTTTTATGAGTCTTTTCTTTGCAAAACTTCGAGCTATGGAAGTTTTCATACGAGATGCAATTATTGGGATGAATATAAGAAGATAAAACTTAGATTTTTCCATTGTTTTTTTGAATTCCAAAATGAATCGAATGGAGTTCAAAAAATAAAAAATAAAAAATAAAAAATAAAAAAAATAACAATTTAGCGATTCTAAATCTATTGTAACCAAGGCCTATTTTATTGTCATTGATTAGCAATTTTTGTTCCTTTACACGTTTATGATGTTTCAAGGAAGAAAAAAATTCGTGTAGTCCTCTCTAAGCATGTCTTTTTTTTTTCTTTTTTTTTTTTTGAAATAATAATTTCGAACAAAGTTTTAGTTTTTTGGTTATTCTTAATCATTTTTTTAAAGGATTTACATTATTTATTTATTTATTTATTATTGACCCTTTCTCTTAGGCGAAACACAACCTAAGCACGGAGACCTGCATCTAAACTTTGTGGGAGGGTTTGGATTCTCTAACCCTATTTTATAGATTAATATGAAACATAAGCGACTCCAAAACTTGCATATAAAGATGCTAATAGAGAAAATTAAAGGAGTCTAAGGATTCCCACGATTTCACCTTGCACATATCGGCTCTACTAAAACCAATCCATCAAAAGTCCAGCCTTTGATTTGCAAACCAATCTGCTATAAATGTTATCTTCTAGGTCCAATCGACTTAGGTTGTAAATATTTTTAATATATTTAATGCATTTATTTTAACAATACTTATTATTTATATGAATTACTATTCTAATAAATTATATTAAATAATAGAGTCCGTAGATTTACGTTTTTTTAATTTATTAATCACAAGAAGTTGTGACTGTGAGATACAAATTATAATATATCTAATATTAATTCGTTCATGGTCATAAGAAATAACGAGATATAGACGTCGTTATTATCAATAAACCATCATGTATAGTATTTTTTATTTGAGAAGTAAGTAACTGATCTTACATAATAAAGTGTTATGACACCTAAATGAAAATGCAAATATTTTGTTATAGGACAAAATATTAGAGACACATTTGGGAGAATCCATTCGAATAGCTATTTGAGTATCATTAGTTAATTTCTAATGTTTAGTAGTTGAATTTGTCATTTGACTTGATGTCATCATAATGTCTTATATGAGGATAGTAATACTTAGGTGATGTTGGATGTTGCTTTGTCAATGTCTGCTAATATGACATCGTTCGAGTATGATAAAAATTATATGACGGTTGTGAATGTTCAATAGAGAATCCATCACTCTTAAATAGTAAGAAATTATAATTTACATTTCATTCAGTTGAGTCGTAAAGCCCAAAAAAAAAAATTCTTAGAATAGAATTTAATTATTTTAGATGCTATATTTTATATTTTGGAATATTAGGGGACTAATCAAATATTTAGATTTCGATGGATTTAAAATAAGCATATTAATATTGAGCTCGTTGGATAGCTCGTAATTAATCATACATTTTAGACTCTAGAAAAAGTTAGTTCGCATGAATGAAACCCAAGTTATTCAAATTGAAAGACTTTATTTTGATATGTTAATGCACAAGGTTTAGTTATTAATGAAATTTCTCATGGGCTCCACGCGTTGCATTCCTAAGATTGAGGAAATATTTTAATATAAGTATTATATTATTTTTATTGTGATTTAAATTAAATTTTATGTTTTAATAACTTGTAGAGTCACATGTAGGAGTTGTTGAAATTTGTTACCATTTTATATTATTTTATTGTTATAAAATA